ACACAGACAGTGGTGTGATGAGGGACTGGGGAGGGGAGTGGGCGGGGTGGGAGGGGTCAATGGGGAGAAGAAGGGACATCTGTAATATTTTGAACAATAAAAAAATTTAAAAATTGTAAAAATAAAAAAATAAAAAGACCTCACTGAGGGAGTGGGATTTGCAGGGCATTTTGAACCCTGAGTAGAACGACAGGAAAAAGGATTCTGGGTAAGTGGGAGAGATGTGGGGAATGGCAGGCAGGTGAAAATGAGTGAAGGAATAGTTTTTCAAGTGAAATGGTAAATAGAATCCCTAGATAGATACAGATATTATAAAATAAGTTGGAGGGATTACAAGGAAAATTTTAACTACTCAGCCTCAAGATCTCCCAGGTGTCCTTGAATGCTGAGTTAAATCAACACTGACTTAGTCGTTTGAATTTTCTGTGCCCAGCCAGACAGACATGTGATATGTGGTGGTCACTTCTTCAGAATGACGGTACTGAGCAGGTCTCTAGAACCTCAAGGGATCCTGCTAGATTCCCTCTTCTACACGGAGGGCCCAGGGAAAATACTATTCCCTCCATTTAAAGCAAAACACTTAGCAATTTTATTTTCAGCTCTACAAGGAAGAACCAAACATGGATGTATCATAGATAAATCAAATAGTCATGTTTTAAAAGAGGCATTTTTAATTGCTATGGTCCAGCCACATGCAAAGCCCAAGGACAACACAACTATATTTAGCATCACTGGTTAGAGCTGTTTGTTTACAAATTTTAATTAGGTTGAGAGATGTAACAACTGATGAATTCTAAGAGGTGGCCACCTAAAGAGGTAAAGATTATTTTATGAGTAAATATATTCAGCCCATTTCTTTCGTTTCTTTTGAAGTCCTTGCCTCTGCTTCCCCCTGTTTTTCTCATCTGTTCCATTTTTCCATTTTTTTAAGGTCTCACTTGTGTTTTAGACCCTTCCTTTCCTGGTTACTCAGTTTTTAAGATATCATTGTTGTTCTCAATGTCCATTGTCCATTTCTCTTCATATGCGACATTGAATAGTAGTGTTTTATTGCATTTTCATTACAAAAACAACTTTGCCTATAGAAAATATAAAAGCCTAGAAAAGATATAAGAAAAAATATAATTTATGATTATATCATCTTAAGAGAAACGTGTACATTTTTCCTGTATTTGCGTGAGTGTTGATTGGTTTCGCATATTTTTCCACATAATCATCATGCAAACTACATGCTACTGGACATTAAGTAATTAGCAAGTTCTCCTACGCTGTAGCTTACTGTTGGAAACATATATTTGGAAGTTTCCCCGGCAATGCGGCCCTGTGCCAGTGGGGATCTGCGTGCATCTCCTGTCCCAGGCGGAGTGCACGGAGCAAGGGGAGTTGACCGTCCGCACCACGCACCCGGCGGCGGTCACTCTGCGCAGCGAGCGGCGGGGCAGGCAGGGCAGAGAGACTCCATCTGCGGCCTGAGTTCCGCTGCGCAAACTGAAGGGAAGCAAGCCCACAGCACCCAAGCACGGTGGGGTTTTCTGTTTTATTTTAGAAAAGTGGACAAGCAAAAACTTTGATTCAGTAATTCGGGCTCTAAAGCAAGACACGAGCATTCCAGGAAAAACTAGAATGTATGAGACAAGAAACGAGGGACATACAGGCTAGATCTAGGCTCTTAGCCTGGGAGATGAAGAGTTTTCACAATTTAGTAGGCAAGAAATGAAACTCATAATCACTAAGTATCAGTTAGTTTGCATGTATCTATCTACGGTAACTGGGTACAGCTCTAATGTTGGAGCATAATTCAATCATAATGAACACTGTGCAAAGAGAAATGAGCCAGTCGAAGAAAGACAAGGGCATATGATTTCACTTATATGTGGGATCTAATGAACAAACAGATAACAAGCAAAATAGGGACGGACTCACAGATACAGAGCAGGCTGACAGCTCGGCGGGGGGGATGCTGAGGGGTGGAGGGATTGAGCACATAAGAAAAAAAAAAGAGAAAGAACCATGGACATGGACAACATGTGGTGTTTCAGGGGGAAGGGTGTGGGTGGAGGTGGAGGAGGGGATGGGGTAAATGGTGATGGAAATAAATAAAGCAAAATAAATAAATAAATGCATAAATAAACCAGAAAAAAACCAACACATGTTATTTTATAAAATTCGGAATTAAAAATCCCCCTCTTTCTATTTTTATGTAATAATACTGATACCAATTGGCAGGTACAAAATAGTCGTAAAGGTGTAAAGAACAGCAGGGCAGGGAACAGTCAATAACATTGTAATACCTGTGCATGGTGTCAGGGGATCACTTCACAAGTTACATAAAAGCCCTCTAGATACGTGTAGCAAAAGTGTGCTCCAAAACTATTTTAAGTCGTAGGGTTTTGAAGACCAAACCTCTGCATATGTCGGTACATTTTAATATATCATCTTCTGGCAGAAAGAGAAGATATTTTACCTTGAATTAACGTGATATTTTTCAGTGCCTGAGAATGTTCCCAATCTTTCAGCCTGAGATCATTCGTGATGTTATTCAGTAGTTTCATTTCTCCTTTTATTTCCTGCTCCAAGCGCGCTTGTTTTTCTTTCATAGACATAATTTCTGCTGATGTATTCTGCACACGCTCCTGCAGTCTACGCATCTCCTGCGAAGCATCGGCAGTTTTTGTTGCACAATTATTTATAAAATATGTAAGTTTAAGAAACCCCGGGAGCCAGGTTTTAAAAACACACAGATAATATTACAGGAATATTATGGAGTAAGAATACGAAACTTAAGAGAACTGTTTTAAAATATTAATTCTTTGGTTTTGAAGCCTTTGCTCCTTTGGACTGAATCCCTGAATAGTCACACCGTCCACCCTGCACCCCATTAGTTGACTATGTCTAAGGTATTCTTCTATTTCCAAATAGACAGGTGTCAAAATGCTAACAAAATAATTTTTAAAAACTTGTGATATGGTTTTTAATTTATTTGTACTTACAGTAGAAACATAGTATTCCCATTCTGTGAATTTGGTGGATTTGAATATTAAATTGTTTCGTAGCAATAACAGTTTAATGCCATACTCCCCAGTAGTAATGAACATTCAAGAGAGCCTTTTATGAGCAATACAATCTCAACTAGCATATTAACAATATCTTACCTTTAAATTTTTAAAAGTAAGATATGCCTCTGTATTTGTTTTTAATTACACACACACACACACACACACACACACATAGTGGGCATTTACATACCTGCATGCATATATAAAGAGATTTGTGAGCATGAGTGATCCTACTTGTTTGATCTGGGACATGCTTTTACTTTTCACTCAATAATATAATAAGACTATATTTACCTATTAAAATACTTAGAGGCTGTCTTATTTTTAATAATTTGGTGGAAATATATTGTATGTATTTTTCATAGTTTATTTGATTCCTGTTGATAGAGTTTTGAGGGGCATATATTTTACAACTGTAAATAATGCTATAATGAACACCATTATATATATGTGTATATATACATCCACGCGTGTCTGTGTGCACACACATGCACACGCTTCTATAGGACACCTTCCTGGAAATGAATATGATTAAAGAGAGTAAATATTAAAATTTTTGTTCAATACTCTCACACTGCCCTCCAAATATATGGTACCATTTTAAAATCTTAATAATTGTACCTTAGTGCCTACTTTTTGCACCCAAATACTAGGTACCCTCAATATATTTAAGTTTTCAGAGTCAGAGCACAGTCATAATAAATTCTTGTTACTTAATTTGCTTTTCCACCTGTGATAAGGGTAAGTTCCAAATCATACAGATTTTCAATGATATTTTTCTTTATTACTTTTTCTCTCAAGTCTTTGGCTGGGCTTTCCTTCGGGCGTTGGCCTGTCCCTTTCTGATGTACCAAACCTTCCCATCTCTCCCGGTAACGTTTTCTGTTCCTCTGCTCTGCTTTTACCGCATGGCCTGTTTTCATGGTATGCTTTATACCTTTCTAGGTACTTCTATGTTTAACTATTGCCAGAATCTCCCATTTGCCCACAGAAACAAACCAGTAATATTTCTGTTGTTTAATCCAGGTGTGAAGAGAAAATTACACTTTCCTTGACTGGACTGGACAAATTGAGGTGAGAGTCAAGGCAGTCAGGCTGTAAAACCTTTGAAAAGAGTTGGACACACATCCAGATTTGCCTCTTCCGTGGCACTGACCTCAACCACAGGGGCTCAGCTTTCACCGCTCTCGCAGTGCCCTCCCTCGCTCAGAACCTGCTAGATTGCAGCTTCTCTACCCTCTGTCTCCTCCCTCCCTGGCTGTTTGGCATTTTCCTTGCAACATGGCAAAAACGAACAGTGAAATAGATGTTTGTAGAACACATCTATCTGTTTCCAAAACACAAGTGCAATCTGCCTGAACTCAGGTCACGAATCACCAGATTTTTATTATTCCCATTAATTACCACATTTCCAACGTGGTTTCAACTCCTCATTTCTGTGGGCTCACAAATATCCCACAGCCCCTGCTGCATAGGGGCTAACACTTCCCTGTCCTTCTACCCGGCTTATCCTCTCTCTCCTCGCTGCGTCCCACTGCTCCTCTGATCCTGTTTCTACATAAAGTAGTATTTCTCTTCCTTCTCCTTTCCCTCCAACTGAATCGGTTTCTACTCCAATAGCTGACCTTTTATTCTCTTCTGTCTCCCGTATTTCTCAATCCTGTGGACAGTTTCTTCTTTGTGTATTTTCTGTAACCCCTCCATCGCCCGAGTTCTTGATAATCCAACACCCATTTGATAGCCTCACATATTTATGAACTGTGTGGGAAACATTTAACAGTCAGATTTTGGAAAATGTGATATGGAATAGAAACAGAAGATCCAGGTTGGTGTTGGAATGAGGTTGACAGAGTCCCCATATTTAAATTGCAATGCAATTGTCTTCTGACTCCTTAAGACAAGTGTCATGTAAAAATTCAAAAATTCTGAGTGATTGCACCTTACAAATGATAAACATGTAGGATATTCCTTATTGACCTGTTTAGTCTACTCTCTAGTTAATAATTTAGTTGGTTTTCATCTGGGGTTATAACTTTAGAGGCTTCTCTTGGCTTCCTAATTAGTCTTTGCTTTGCTCATTAATTAAGAATGGGTCTATCAAGCAAAATCTACTACAAAGATGCCAGATTTTTAAGCTAATGATGGAAATTTTATAGACTTCACATTAATTTTAATCTTAGGTCTTACATATTTTATAATACGAAGATTATTTTTTTCACCAGCAGCGAAGTTTTAGTCCTATGTTTATTTTTCATGGAAAAGAACAATTTTAATTACTCAACCAAAAAAGACAATTTTGAAATAAGTGACTTACTTCTTAATTTCTTTCTCATCAATACAAGTGACCCAGAGGGCTGACCACTGAATAGTCTAGAGGTAAAAACATTTTGACCCATGGGCCAAACTCTGTTTCTGTAAATAAAGATTTATTGGACCACAGCTATACTTATTTGTCTATGTATAGTTTATGGCTGCTTTTGCACTGCAATGGCAGAGTTGAGTAGCTATGACAGAGGCCATGTGGTCCCAAAGCCAAATATTTATCTGACCCTTCAAAAAGAAACTTTTGCTGACAACTGATCTAGACTATGTCTGGTTCTGTTGTCTTTTGTCTTCGGTCCTATTATGATAAGACGTTTCATACATTATTCACATTTTAATTCTTAAAAGTGTATGTATATTTCCTTTTTTAAAAAATATGTTTTTGTTGATTTCAGAGAGAGGAAGGGAGAGGGAGAGATAGAAACATCAATGATGAGAGAGTCATTGATCGGTTGCCTCTTGCACGCCCCCTACTGGGGATCGAGCCCACGACCTGGGCATGTGCCCTGACCGGGAATTGAGCCGTGACCTCCTGGCTCATAGTTCAACAATCACTGAGCCATGCTGGCCAGGCTACATATACTTTCTGGGAGTGACAAAGTAACTATCTTAAAATGTAGATATTCTACATTACCCATGTAAGGGGTGATAATGAAACAAATTGGGGGTCTGTTATAAAACATACAGAATGCCTACCTCCCCAGCTCTGCTAAGATAATCTGAAAATCCTAACTGGTTTAGGCAGTCTCAAGAGGTACTATCCAGGCTTTCTAATATTAAAATACCCTAAGAGAGCCCATAGCCAATGGAAAAGTATTTTCCTTTTTGCTTGGAATCTGAAAAAGGAACGAGGCGAATCTGTTTGTGACCTTCGGGTAAGATTCCCAGAGGACTCAGGTAGGTGGGCTGATGTTCCAGCAGGGTTTGCCGTGTTCCTGTGAGGAGATGGGACCTAAACGAACCCAGGGTCAGCATGCGACCTTCCGATAGGAAAGCTCTTACCTCTTGATGTTTAAATGCATTCTCTTGGACCTTGCCATTCAGCGTTTCAATACTGAGCTGCAAAGCAAGCAACGTGGTGTTCAGACTTATTAATGACTGGGAGATGCCATCTACTTCGTTTTCATGTTCCTGGACTGAGGAAACCGTGGTATTCAGCTGGAAAAGCACATCATTAAATCTTTGGTCAGTCATCACGCTGAAATTTTGGAAATGCTCTGAATCTATGAGATTGGCTTGTGTATCCGAAATATACTGGATTCTCTTCTCCATGCTGCTCATGTTTTCCGTGACAACTTCTCGAAATTTTATATCATCTTCGCTGTCATTTCCTCTTCCCATGGGACTCTGCGGTGTGTCGCTGGCATTCACCGAACCAGCTGCGCAGTTCTTCCTTTCCCACTTTAGGAGCTGAGCTGCATGTTTAAGCACAAAGAGACAGAGTCACGGCCAGTCCCCTTAAATGCATACGCTATCCCATTCTGGGCCATTCCGTGCCAACGTTTTGGGTGCTATCCCAAATCAGGTATTTATTTTAAATAGAATATCTGTATTTAGGCACACTCATGAGAGGGTGGAAGTTGCCCCTTCCCACTTCACTTCAGGATTTATTCCAGGATCGAGCTTCTTTCTGAGTTGCTGCTAGGAAGCCTTCCTGGGCCACGGCATCGGGCTTTCCCAGGAAGAGAGATTCCACAGCTTACAAAGTGCAGTGGGCCCTATTCCTCGGCTCCACCGGTAAGATAAAAGGAGATCAGAGAGTATCTGAATTAGCATGTTGAATATCTTAGTCATTACCAAGATGAATGACGATGGTGATGACAAATATGCAGTAAAAGTAGAAGTATTAGTGTTATCGGCCACGTGACTAAATGGTTGGTTAGTCTTCCTCATGCTCTCGTTAAGCTGACAGGGGACTGTCGTTTTCAGTTCACACAGGCCTGATTTATAGTGGGCAGAGCAGAGAATTGGGCAAATAATAGTCTTACTTTGAAGAAGCATTATTTTTATAAGATCCCTCTTTGCTTACTATGAAATATATATATATTCATAGCAGAAAGTTTATAAAAGATGAGTAATAAGGAGAAGTAATGGACCATTAATTTCTTCTTCCCAAGCTAAATGCTAACATTTTGATGTACGTGTATGAAATCTGGCTCTCTGTTTTCACTATCATGTTATTATTACAAATGCAAGATTATATTTTATATGCAACCTGAAAACTACTTTTAATTTAATACTATATCATAAAGACTTGAGTATTACTTAGAATGGTTTTACGAAAACAATTTTAATGACTTCATTGTATTCTATATATGGGTCTACCAGATTTACTTAACAAACCCCCTACATTAGTTTGTTTCTGTTCTCACTAATATATTCAATGTTTTGAGAAACAATCTTGTGAGTAATTATTACTTGAAGAAAGAAATCCTATTACACGATATTTTGAGGACACACAGAGCTGCTGATGTGTATTTCCAAACAGACATATATTCTCTAAACAAGCTAATTATCCTTCTGAAAGGATCTAGAGCAATGTGTTTACAGTTTTAAAAATGAAAAGCATAAACATTAACTTTTTAGATAAATCAATACATAATTATGCACAATAAAGAAAACAATAAACACTATTTTACCACTAACCAGTAATGGTTGAAATTTTGTTGTCTTTCCATGTCTCTCTCTATGTTTATCTCTAACATTTATAGCTTTTATCTACATTTATGTCCCTTACTTATATTAGTTCGAATGTATAAGATTTTCTATATTTGACTATTATTAAGCAATAAAAAGAATAACTTCACATAGTTTAAAAGTATATCTCCATGATCAGCTATATCTGATCTGTCAGTTTCCTGAGTAAAAATTATGTAGCGATAGTACCAGCTTTACAGGTTTTTGAGGATTCAGCGAGATAACACATGAAAAACACTTAATTTCCACCCTTAGCTCAGGGTACCTGGTACATAAATAGACCATGGTGTTTTCACAGGGCCCAGCTGCCTGATTCTGAGTCTGCCTCTCCTCCTCATTGTTAACTCGGTTACTCTGGGCGAGTTGCTTATCTCCTCCTTGCTCAGGTTCCCTCCAAGACCTAGAAATAGTAACCATCTCAACAGTGGTGCTGAGGATGCGTGAGGTAAGGCATGTGAACCCCACGGCACACAGATGGCACGTGTGAAAACTCGATTCAAATTTAGGTGCTTTGTCCATGAGAGATGTTATCTTAGTTGTTACAGAGAAAACCTGTTTTACCACCTTGACTTAAAGACGCCGTTGATGATGGTTGCTATTGTAGACATCATTATATTAAGAATTAAACTATATATGCAATTGAATCCCAATTTTATAAAACACATTCTATCATAGTTTCCTAGTAACATTCTCCTTAAAATTAGCTTCATTGAATTGATAATACATGTGTGACCACATTTTGGTATGATCCACAACAGAGGCCATTTCAAATGTGCATAATTTTATACTTCTTAATTTATCAAGCAATTGGACGAAAAAGTATATTTTTTAGTAAGATCTTATCCCATTTATTAAATGAAGTGTGGGAGCAAGTTTTGAATTGACAGCCTCATATGCATTCATCAAGTCCATGATTTATTTATTAACCACAGACTAAGTATAAAGCAGTGTTTGAACAACTCTGGCAATAAGATCAACTGAAACTCAAAGCTGCCCCTTACATTTTTTCCTTTTATGGTGATTATTGCTTTTCCTCGTTAGCAGGTAAGAATCCAGGTGCTGGATTAGAGCTGCCTGGGTTAGCGATTCTTGCTCTTTCCTTAATAAAGTGTGACCTTGGGCAAGTTGATCTGCCAATGCTTCTATTTCACTTCTGAATAAATGGGATGCTAGTAGCCAGTGTTTAAATAATTAAATGAGCTAATATATGTAACATGCTTAGAATACTTCCTGGCACACAAGAAGCATCTGGTAAGTTTCAGCTTTTTTGTTATTGTTAATATTTTGGATTCACTCTCTGTGGTTTACACATCTGTATGCGCAACACTGACAACTAGGGGCAATTAATATTGTGTGATATAAAAAATTGGGAGGTTCGGTATTGCGAGGGGTAGAGTGATCTCTGTGCTTGATTTTACTAGGCATATGGATCTAATTGTTCAACCATATAATTTTACTTATACTGGAAACAATTTCTACTTTATATGAGTAAAGCAACTCTTGCTCACAGTATAGAGACCTGATTTAACAAAATATCATATGACCAAGGGTTTTGGTTTGACATCAAGTTTAATAAGAATTGACAATAAAGGTTGCATTTTGCTTATAGATTTCAAAACAAAAAAGTGCTTACTTTCCCAAATTCTAAATGAAAACTAATTTGATCCCTACTTTCTTTAAAAATGTTTAACTTTGTATCAAAAATTCAGGTAAAGAACACCAGAGTTTCTATTTTCAAATCTTCATTTCTTTCACTATCATTGGAGAGATGGCATTTTTTGATTTTTCTATTTCACATTTGAAAGGAGAAAAGCTTTAACCGTGCAAAGGCCTAGGGAGAGAGTTATATTTGATTCTACAGATCACATTTACTCTTTCATGTTGGTAATATCTTCTCCTACCAAAAATCTATATTATTTTGAGCTAAAGAATCTTCAGTATTTCAGCAACAATTTATATATGTTAATACTAAATTATGTTTTATTGTCCAGAGACATTATTATGTTGTTATACTATGCCATCAATCCAGTAGCTTCTTTAAGAAAAGATAGCATATGGAGTAGATTTTGAAATTAAGAAATATCTTTCCATGAATATGACACTCCAAATTTAAGTAGAGTTTTTATGTACAACATTTTACTTCACCCACCAATTCATATTTGCCAAAACAAAGGGATTACTATCATTTTAGGCATATGTTTGGTCTATAATTGTAATATTATGATATCAAGTAAAGATATGTATTGCATTTTAGTTCCTTTTTGGGCAACTATTTTGATTTACAACTTAATTAAAGTTGTAAATGGACTGTCAATTGTTTATTCTTCAAGTGTGATGGACACGGCAAGATCTATTCCAACTTCTGGTGAATTTGGGTGCTAACATGAACTGATTCGATTTGAACATTTTTAACTTCTTGTCAATCTTAATAGGTACTGTTGTAGTTTTAAATAAACAAAACTACTTCAGATCAATCATTGTCAACCCTAAAACAAATGTGTTGACTTGATGGTATTTTCTAATAGCCCAGAGATTCTGAACTTGGTTAGAACTCTGAATTCTTTACAGACTTCAGTCCACATTCTACACGGGCCTTTTAGAAAGTAGTTGCACTCTGCAGACCATGGTTTGTATAAAGACGATGAAATTACCCAAATTATACCTGGTTTATAGCTAATAATGCCAAACAATAAAACATCTTTCAGCTATGTCTTTCAAACTACAGATAAGCATGTACACAAACAACACACAGATAACCTCAGTTCATCAGGAAGTTAGTTTCATAACAGTTACATTAGGTTCTTTTATTTAGATGGCTCTGGTTGGTTTGATTGATTGGTTTAGTTTACTGTGGTTGGTGTTTGTTTTTTAGTTTGTTTTTAAAAGCCAAAATAGGAAAATATTTTTCTGGCTAAATATTCTTCTGGCTAAAATTACAGCAACTCTGTTTTTGTTTTTGTTTTTTATTGGTCAACCATATTTTATGCTAAAAATCCAATTACACCAGGAGATAGTAGACCATAGAGGTTAGGAGTCAAGTGTGGTGGGTGAACAGTCTCGATTTCCTTTTGTGGGTAATGGGAATGAGTATATGTCTGCTCAGCGGTAAATGGAAAGGTGTATTTAGATAACCCATGGAGAACGTGTAGCCCAGTGCCTAAGCATAGTAAGTGCTCAAAAATGATAGCTACTGTTACAATTGTTGCTGTTGTTTTATTATCATTTCTTTCTTAGCACAATTTTGGCTCTGTCTTGGAATATTCCTTTAGATTGCCTGTTAGTGGAGGAGATTTGGCCTTATATTTAGGAGCATTTTCCTGTTAAGCTGGTTAGTATGCATCTAAAAATGTATCTTACTCCCAGCTGGTCTCTTAATAGAGCATGTGTCCAGACGTTTTGCCAGTCATAGAGAAAGGAGAGCTATAAGGTATGTAAACTCAAACGACAATCACATATATCAAAAATACTACTGAGGGTAATAATACTTACAGATTTAACTGAGTTATATGCAAGCCACCCTTATGGAAACCCTCAGATACATCCCCAATTCAAGTCAGGCTTTCCAAAGAACTATGTACCTGCAAAACATTATGTGGAACCCAAGTAGAGTGTTCTAATTTTTAGAGATGTTTTAAATAATGGCCCTATGAAACATGAGGCCATATAAACTGTAAAGATATTACTGAAGTGTAGGCCATTATTTAATTCTTGAAGACTTACAGGAATATTTCTTTTTTGCTCTTAATACCAGAAGAACTTGACCTGAACAACTGGCTTGTTTTCACATTTTAGGCATTATTAATGTAAATTACCATGTTAATGTTTTCACTTAGGCAACCAGAATACTTACCATGAAATTTGTGACTCACCACAAGACATCTATAGGATTTCAGAGGATAATATATTTTTGAAATGGGCTAATCCTTTCCATAGTTATATTTTTGCCTTAATCTTTCATTTTCTATTCTATTTCATTTTTTCTATTCTTTTACTTAATGACTGAAGAATCTATTTTTCATTTAATACATTTAAGGAACACTTTGTGATACCAAGTTTACCTTATGAATCTCCCATATACAAAAGACTGAATGCTTCTTTCTGCTTCTACAGTAACAAGTTCACATGATGAGCTGTGGGTGTTGGAACTCTAGGATACTGTACCTGCCACGACCCCAAGGATGGGGATGAGTATTATAAACACAAGGAGATAAAGAACAACCAGCGCAGCTTTGAAGGACTTCAGTTTCTCTTCAAGGGCAGGGCCATTTTTAGAATCTAAAAAACAAAAGCCCAAACTACTGTTAGAAAACTTAATCTTCTTACTTAGCTAAAATTTTTGTAATCTGCAATTATATTGTTATACCAAGCCTATTGAAATAAAAACGAAAAATAGGTCTTTGTTTGTTCAGTAGGAAGCAAAAGGGACAATCACAGACTAAGCCCATAGGCATCACTATGGACATTTCAGTTACGTATCTATCCACTAAGCACCCATGAAAGTGGTTATCATCTACAGGTTGTGCTTGTCTCATTTGGGGGAATTAATTATCATTATTTTTAAAAATATCTTTATTGATTTCAGAGAGAGGAAGGGAGAGGGGCAGAGATAGAAACACCAATGATGAGAGTCATTGATCGGCTGCCTCCTGCACGCCCCCTGCTGGGGATCAAGCTCGCAACCTGGGCATGTGCCCTGACCGAGCATCAAACCACAATCTCCTGGATCCTACATCAATGCTCAACCGCTGAGCCACACCCGGCAGATTGGGGGAATTAAATTTAATATCCACACCAATATATGCAAACAATTTTCTTCTTCTGTTTCATATGGGAATATATTCTGGGTGAAAATAAAATCCCTCAAGTAATTATGTAATTATGATTTTTTTCTTATTTTAAGACAGATAAAAGAAACATTTATTTTCTATGATAATTATACTTTTTTTTTTACAATTTCATCTCTATAACTTTGTATTTGAATACTTCTTATGATTTGAATAAAATGTAAAATAAGAAATAAACAAAATTATTCACATTTTGACTAAGTTTGGAATGGATCAGTGAAGTCCATCTTCTGGCTAGATCAGAACATATGAACATTTTATTATTATGCATTTATAATAAACAGTGATCACATAATAGAGGCTAATTGCAGAAAGGCTAACAATATAGAGGGAATCTTAGTAGAAGAAGAAGAGTGAATAAAGCATTTATTAAAATATTTTTCCTATGGCCATTGTTCTCATTACTCTTTTTTTTTTTTTTTTTTTAAAGTAAATTTTGTTTTCCGGTTGTAAAGTCCCAAAATTAAAAACAAAAGTTCAGACATTGCTCAATAATGTTCTATGAGGAAATGAAAGGAAAAGGAGAGCCTTTTTTTTTTTTGAGAAGTAAAGAGAAGAAAAAGAAAACAAAGGAATAAAAAAGGAAAGATCTAAGGAAAAAGAGAAAGAACCACCCACCATACGAGCAGGATGGGCTGTTCCACCTGCCAGTCTGACTGAGCCTGAAACCCAGGAGTCATCTTCTCCTCTATCCCCAATTTTGTAAAAATGTATCTTTATTGTTTTAAGTATTACAGATGTGTCCCTATTTTCCCCATTGGCCCCCCGGCACCCCACACCCATTTACAATCACAAATTATCTGTATATTGCCTTTTAAAAGCTCTCAGAGATGCCTTTGCTTTGTTTGGTTTTGTTTTTTGCCTTTCTTTGTTCCCAGTGACTCTGTTCTCCTTCCTCAATCTCAACATCTCCACCTTTAAAAGCTTCTCTTATTATCTGTTCTCCTTGTCTCAGTGGTGCCATGGCCTCCGGTCTATTGTTAACACCGCATACAAGATCCATCAGGCCTTGGAGCTGTGGTCTGTATTTCGGGTTTTTCTTTGTAAGAACTCCTACAAGATCCTGTACTTTGCATTTGCTGCTTCCTCTGACTGAAATATCTCCATGGCTCCTTCCCTCCCTGCCTCATCCCTTGGTAAAATGTACTTAAGGCTTAGCAGGAGGAAAGCATCTCCGTGTTCACACCGTAAGTGGACCTATCCAGACACAGTCAAATACTACTGCTTTTGAGGTCTTCTGGTAACCTGTACAAACATCTTTTTCAGTCCTGTTATGTATTGAATTGTTTCTCAAAATATTGTTGAAAACTTAACACTGGGTATCTGTGAATGTGAACTTATTTGGAAATAAAGTCTTGGAGATATAATCAAGTTAAAATGAGGTCAAATTGGTTTGGAGTGAGGCCTTAATCCAATGACTGATATCTTTAGCATAAGAGGGCATGGAGACACCAGGGGAGAAGACCATGTGGAGATAGAGGCAGAGGTTGGAGTGATACAGTTACAAAGGGGCGGTGCTAAGGATTACCAGGAGCCACTAGAAGCTAAAAAGAGGCAAGAAATGATTCTTAGCCTAGAGCCTTCAAAGGGAGGATGGCCTTGAGGAGACCTTGACATTGACTTCTGGCCTCTGGAAGTGTGAGAAATAAATGTCTATTGTTTTAAGCCACCCACTTTGTGGTAATTTGTTATAGCAGCCACAGGAAACTAATACAAATACCCACCACCCATGATTTTCAAATACTAATTCATGGTGCTAGAATCACAGTCATCTTCAGGACCTAGCCCAATGGCTGGGAAATCAGACAACTCAATCAATAGTATGGATTAACTTAATCTATTATAATGTTTCCTTTCTTCAATTTAAGCTTATTTTGTATTCTCTCTCAAGAGAGGGAAAAAACTATTTATCCAATAAGTATTATTTTAATATTCATACACATGTAAGGTAAGTCTCAAGACTAATTTTATGTAGTGTCAATTACTCTAAGGACCACCTCGCTGGGCATCCCACCCTTCCTCTACTTACTCAGAGGCAACAAAGCTGTCATTGATCGAGCATCAAACTTCACAGATTCTGAACAGTTATCGGTGTCCTCCTGTTGATCGAGAAAGCTATCCCACTTGGCCATACTTCTATCAAACACATGGGAAAATATATTAATTACACATAAAATGGCTAGGACCCTTTGGCATAATGTTTCCAACTGAATTTTATAATTAAAATTCAATGTGAGCTAGAAAATATAATTAAGTTTACATATCTACCATACATATCAATATAGTATACCTACCCATAAGTTTTCATTGTAACAGTAAAAGACAGACTTACATAGAGCAGGTGTTTGTTTTTTGAGAGTGAGAGGTAGCTTTTCTTTCTTAGCTAAAAAAGTATTATTCCAAGTGACAGAAAACAACTGTTTAGTTGAAAAAAACAATTTCCCTTAGAACAAAATAGTTGTGCAAAATTTGAAGTAAATATTTCCTGTGACCCTTTATCAGAGCTTTGTGAGTCAGTGTTTCTTTGCCAAAGCATCTGTTTATCACTTTGGAACGATCATATCTACTCACTAGATTAGGAGTCACAGGAAAAACTGTTTCTTTTTTTCTTTTCTTACTTGTATATTTATTTATTTTCCAGGACTCCTGATTATACAGAAGCAGCATCACAAATATGTCCTTGTACCTTCTTAAGCACAATCCATATTCTATGATACAATCTATGTCTATGTGTCCTTAAGATGCTTCAGAATCCTTTCAAGTCTTGATTAAACATGGATTGATGGATCCTACCCTCAGAGCTTCCAATGTTTGGGTTGAGGGAGTCAAGAATTTGCAATTCCAACAGGTTCTCTAGTAATGCTGCAGCTTGCAATCTGAGGACCACATTTCCCATGAAAAGAAATTACAAGACTTTTTCGTGGAAACAGTTCAGCTCATTGGATTGATAAATTTAGAATAACGCCAACACTTTCTGATCATTTCTTATTTCCTTTAATGCTGAGTTATGGTTTTAGCACAGCCAAAGTTTAATTGAGGGCACTGGAAGCTGCAGGACACCGAATTCATACCCAGTCCAGGAAATGAAGGACAATCATTCACAGGCAACCATTCGCCCTGCTTTGGGGTGAAGTATTGACAAGTAAGGATATGACTCAATACTACCAAGGAGATTCTTTATATCTCAGTTTGCAATAACAATCTTTGTTCATGCATCATTCTGTGACCTGACCAAGGAGTGTGTTCTTAAATTATTTGGCCCTGTGGAGGAAGAAAGTGGAGAGGGGAGGTATAGGTCCTACGCCCTCTTTTCTTAGGCAGAGGCAAAGTAAAAGAAATAAATAATTATCAGGGAAAATTGATCATTATAGGAAATCAACTTGGACAATTCAGATCCAGACTCCCCTAACATTTATCTCTTTTTAATTCACTCTATTATTTAAACTGGATAACAGTTTCACTTGCCAAGCGAAACAAATGAACAAACAAATAATTTTAAAAACTGAGAAAAACAATAAAGCTGAGCTAAGTTAATATATAAAACTATGGTTCAAAGCAATGAGGGACTATGTGGCAAAGCTTTTTCACTTTGAACTTAGTTTCTAAAAGATGAGCTCACAAAGTATGTATTTAGACACACCTGCTATGTATCTAGAAATCCTTTTTTCCTCAGGCTGCTTACTGGCGCTTCTCAATGTGTTTGACTCTGGCTTTGGTTTTAATATTTGAGTTATTACGACTCCATTTTCACTTAAATACAAAGTAAGCATCTCATATTACTCAATCTCCTAATGGGAATATTGTTATAAAAAAAGATGAAACCTTTTGAATCTGATAAATATCTCTAGAATGAGAGTCACGTAAGAGGAGGGACCATGTCTTATTTTGTTAAATATTTATTACCAGAGCCTAAAAGGACGTGGAATATAAAATATACCTAATAAATATTTGTTGAAGGAATGATGTGATTTTTGTTTTGTCAGGTTTTAGTCTCATATATTAGTTTTGTTTTGTTTTTATTTTTTAAACGAGATGGATGTTTGGGACAGAATAGGTTATGGCCTTAATTCAGATTTTTTTCATATTATTATTATTTATTGTTATTATTTGTATAGCTTATTATTTTTATAGCTTCCTTGAACATGAACCAAATGTTAGGGCTGGGTGACTGGGTTACACTGTTGAGACACTGCCACTCACTCTAGCCTGTTCCTAATCAGCATTATTTTCCTTTGCTCAGGTCCAACTGGCATTTAGCTATCGCCACATCCCATTGTAGCTCTCAAGAGAACATTACTAGCATTCTGGTTGGAACAATTCTTTTTTTGCAAAGAACTGTCTTAGTTTTATTTTAAAAAGAAAAATCATAGCAAATCCAGAATGATACTACAGTGATCTAATCTTGGCCTCAATAAGTCAAAATGAATGTTATTTTTTATCCATATACTTGCTCAGAAGCTCCACATGTACATTTCAATAAATTTGCAATTTAGAACCCACAGGGCCTCCTTAGCATAAAGGACTTTTCTTGAGAGAAAGAAAGAATTCCACTTTTTACTTTTTTTTTTTTTTAGGTGGATCTAGAAGGCTAGATGCTGCATCATTAAAAAATAGATGGTAAGTATTGGGATATTGTTCAATCAATAACTTTAAGATGGAAATACCTATTCCTTCATGTAGACCAGTCCAACAAATTCCTATTATGTATCATTACCTCACATACTGTGTAAGTCATTAGACTGCTAAGATCAACAGAATATCGTCAAGCACCAAAGACCTTATGCACTGATATAAAAGACTAACGCCCTATTTCTGATCCAGCTCGGAATCATTTTTTGAAATAATACAAATAGCTACAATGGTGTGTTTTCCATATCAGCCTAATTTTTGTTTTTTTCCAGGTTTTTTAGTGTTGGCATATCATCTATTTATTTCATCTGTTTATTATAGTCATTTATTCATATTTTTTGTGCATTGAGATACACATGGTACAGTCAGGTATAAAGGTAAATAGAGATGCTAGCCAAGCATAGTCACATCAACCAGAGGCCAGAGCTTTATTCTAGTTCACTCTCACCCACTAGGCCCATATCTAATTGCATGGCAGCTCCTGACTTCCTCAGAGCCATCCCTTGCACTCTATGCCAATTTTTTAAATTTTAGCTCATTTTTCTCTACCCCAGCTACGCACCTTGGATAGTAGCGATGGAGCCGACAGTGAAAGGGGAGAATCCAAGAAGTATTTAAAAAGAAAAGGAAATGAAAAGAATTGACGAAAAGGCATCAGAATATAACACTTTAACAAAGACTAGGAGAAAAAAATCAAGCAAAATATTTTTCAGGAAAAACATATGGAGAACATAAACTTGAGAACAAACAAATTTAATGGGCACATAAAGGAAGAAGAATCAGTATTAAAGGTAAGGAAGAACCTTTGACGCTGTGGTAGAACAAGTCAGGGTCATGGAATAGGACCAAGAATTGCAAGGCATACAACGACTTCAATAACCTGCTACGTGGCATTTGAGCTGTTTGGCTTTTATGGTAGAGAGTGAAGCAGATTCTTGAGAGGTCAAGAAACAGTCAATGCACAAAAATGATAGGCCTTGAGCGTTTGCCAGAAGCCTGGTCCTGCTCATGCTTTTCTATTGAGAAGAGATACTGAAGCCATCTCCCAACTTATTAACACTGGATTGTGCCAGCTCTCGGTTCTTGCCCTCTCTCTGGTATCACTCATTCCCTTGGTGTTCTCACTAGCCTTGTTGCTTTAAATACAAACTATAAGGCTGGTTGATGACTCTTACATCGATGCCCATGGCCCAGGCCTCTCCTCTTAACTCCAGACCTGTACATGCAACTGCCTAACAACATCCCCACTTGGATTTCTTTATGGCCCAAACCTAGGGGTCTTCCTTGTCTCATACTCCACATCCAATCGATTGTCACCTTCCCTACTGCCATCGTGGCTGGAGTCCCATCATCTTTCCCAACCGGTCTCTCAGCATCACTGTTCCTCTTTCCATTTTATTTACTTGTTTATTCTCCACACTACCTCTAGAGTGTTCCTCTCCCAGAGCAAGTCAGATCACGTCACCCCACTGTCCAAAACCTGCAAACACCTCCCCATCTCACTCAGGTCTTGATGAGAACCTCACTCTCTTAGATACACTGACATTTCTGGAGCTTTGGATGTAAAATTGCAACATACCTCTTTCACTTCCTCAAGTCCTTCCTGACTTAATTGTGTGTTTTTTCCAAAAAATTTATCACTATCTAACTTAAAATACTTTTTGCCTCTTCATCACGTCTACTGTCTGTCTCTTTTCACCCAAGTTAGATCCATGATTCAGGAGTTTTTATCTCTTTGGTTCAATGACCAGAAAGTTCCTGGCACTTGGTAGGTTCCCATTAGAGACATAAATACATTATACGAAATTTCATAAGTCAATGAAAGAATGTTTTTTTTGCAGGATGACTAGGTTTCATACACAGGGTTACACCTCAAGGAAAGTTTGTGTGTGAAAATGTCAAAAGTTCTTCTTTTATACACGAAAGTAAAAAGGTTTTCTCTGAATTGTGTGTAAATAGGAAACTGACACAAAAGATTTCACCCTCAAAGTTCCCATTTCCCCTCAAAGGCATTCCTTAGGCTTCCTTAGATTACTTCAGTTCTTTTCTTGCATTATTACCATAATTTTTAAATACTTTTAAAGAACATACACATATGACGTTTTGTCAGCAGCCAGTAAACAAGTTACACAGTTCAAAGGTGCCTTCAGATGTCATTTCCAAGGTTAAGAGAAAAAGTAACGTGCCCTAAAGTCACAATTCCAAGGGAACGGCAAGGCACTGACAAAGGCCAGAGGGGTGTCCCGAGCCCATTACCCTGTCGGGCTCCCGTGGGAAGTGAAACTCCCATCTCTGCCGTATCAGCTTTTACCCGAGTGGGTGGCGAGGTCAAGAAGCTGCAACAGGGAAACCATAGGAACGGGTGTCCGCGTTAACTTGCTGGGAAACATGCCCTCTGTTTTTCCTGTCGCTCTTTTTATTTCAATTATAAAAACATCATAACAGCATTAGAGATAAACTGGGGGAGAGTTTCTGTCATCCTCTGCCCTAATATAAGAAAAAACCACTTTCATTCTTTTGCATGAAATTTGAATCTTTGTACCTACATATCCATGTTACTTAGTTGAGTTACTTAGTATGATTTCCCTTAAAATCATATCTGGTATTTATGCTTCAAATTACTTTTTAATTTAAAATTATGGGCTACACAACAACTCATCAAATAGATGAATCTTATTATTATAGCCATTTTTCTATAATGTAATAATTTTTTTTTAATTTCCCCTTTTCTTTGGAGGACAATATTTACTAATAGAGATAACATAAATATTTTCATAGTGTATCTGTCTTCTTTCGAAAGGATACTTTAGGATAATTCACCATACGTTGAACTACCAGTTAGCAGAAAAACTATCTGAAACTTCTTGGTATCTACTGCCTAACTGCTCTTTATGAAGAGCATACAAACTTACAAAGATTACAGTCAAATGTGAGTGTGGCAGTTCTGAACCAAATTTACCACTACTCAGTTATTTTAGAATCATTTTGATTTTGATAAGAGTTAATACTTCAAGGTGGCTTTTGTTTGCATTTCTGTTATTAGTCTAGAAGAGATATTTCCATGTAATTATTTATTTTTCTTCCTGGGTTTTACTTATTCATATCAATTGCTTATACATCATCAGGGGATCTTTATATAGACCTGAATAAACTCTTTATAAGCAATATGTATTTTATCCAGTCTCCCTTCTACGACTGTTCCCTATTCAGATTTGTCATCAAACTCTTAAGGTTAACTTTATCTTTAAGATTTGGGGTAAATAATAACTTAGTAAATTTTATTATTAAAAAAAAAAAAAAAAAAACTTTGATTTTGCATGAACAGTTAAAAATTTGCATGAAATGAAAATAATTAACATATTTGTGAAGCCAACAGCTCTACACTTAAGAAAGGTGTCGCCCGGCCGGGCGTGGCTCAGCGGTTGAGCGTCGACCTAGGATCCAGGCGATCAGGGTTCAATTCCTGGTCAGGGCCCATGCCCAGGTTGTGGGCTGCAGCCGATCGATGACTCTCTCATCATTGATGTTTCTATCTCTCTCTCTCCCTCTCCTTTCCTCTCTCTGAAATCAATAAAGATATATTTAAAAAAAAAAAAGAAAGGTGTCCATAAAAGGGTTATGAAATGGAAACAACTATGTTATGCTAGCGCTACAGATGCTCATCCTTGGTAGTGAGGGAGAAAGAACATCAATTTATGAATCTGAAGCCTAGGTTTCAATATTGGTTGTGACATTTCCGAACTATGTGACCTTTGGCAAGTATTTAAATTTATTTTACTGATATATATATACACATATATATGTAAAATATTATTACAATTTCAATTTAAAAAATTATGAGGATTTAAAATAATTTTTTATAAATTAGTACACGATCACCAATAAATGAACCATCTTTATTTATATTCCAATTCCCTTTTATCGGGACTTTTCTATTTAATCCTCACAGCAGCCCCAGGAGGTCTATAACAATGCTCTTGCCATTTTACAATGCTAGAAAACCAAGACCTAGAAGGTTAAATAACTACTTAATGTAGAACTAAGGAGTGGGGAAGCTTGGATTTGTATGTACTTCCAGACAACCAGCTTCTAATTACTGCATAAAACATTTATAATCTCACTTCTATAATCGTTTTATCGCTCCCCTCACAAGGCCAATGAGAACTCTAACCCCCATTTTATGCTGTATAAATCTTACCTATTCTTTAAGATGAATCTAAATTCTAACAAATCCATTAAGGTGTTTTTTTTATATAGTCCTTTCGTTCTTTGAAGTAATTTTGGCCTCTCCTATATTCCCATGGTAGTTATCCATACACTTTCACACTAGTTAAGGTACTCAAATTCCATATTTATTATATTATATTATATTATATTATATTATATTATATTATATTATATTATATTACATTATATTATTATATCATATATCATATATCATATCATATCATATCATATTATAATATTATATATTACATTACATTATTATATTATATATTATATTATTATATTATTTTTATTATGTTAAGTTGCTCAAGTTGTATATTTGCCTTAAATCATTAACTTCCTGAAGACAGCAACTGTATTTTATATTTTGACTCTGTATTTCCCTACATCTAGTCCAGTGAAGTGCAAATATAGATGCACAACCAATAGTTCTTATATGAGCACATAAAGGTAATAAAAGGTATTAAATTAAAGCCAAAAGTATAATGTGAAAATTAAGGAAATGTAACTAATTAAAATGTCTAATCATATTTTGAATAAATCCAATATTTTTCAATAAAATATACACAGTTATATGCTTAAAATTTCTTACCAGCTTAACCTACAAAGTACTTAGTATATTTCTTATATATCTATGTACACACACATGTTTTTATTCATGGAAACCTAGCCATAATGTCCTTTTTTTTTTAACATTGAAACAACCAAATCAAATTATTAGTGAGAGGATAAAAAAATTCTACCAGAAATCCTTTCTTTTGTGTATGTGCAGACACACACACACACATATATCTACACTATACACACGCACACACACATATATATGTCACATACATACACCCAGACACAGAGTAGACACACAGAATTAATAGAAGCAATTTTGGAAAAACATTAAACTTACTTTACCGTTTGTCCTGAAGACAGCTGAACTGATTTACCCACTTCCCACTCTTTACAGTTGAAATGTAAAATCTTTATCACAAAGTATTGCAGCATCTGATACATGAAGAGAGGAAATGACACACTGAGTGTTGAAAATCTTTCTTAACAATGCATTTCAATCGTACTCTCACCAAAGCACAAGTTTGCAAAATCTAAATCTGTCTTCCCATCTAGAACATTGCGAGAGAAAAAGAGAAGTAACATGAGAAAGAAACAAGGGTTATTAAGCAGAGGAGGTCTCCCTTTTGTGACATGTGTGCTTCTCTAAGTTCCTGTTCTCCATTCTCTCCCGTTAGCCTCCACATCTTCCACTGATTCCCATCACACCTTCTTTCATACTGTGAAAGTTTGAGGAAGAGTCCCATGTTTGAGTGGTTTGTTTTTCTTCATTTTTTCCCTTATGCCCCTTATCTCTCACTTCAAACACGAAACGCATGAGGAAAGGCTGCAGATACTTACGAAGTAAAAGTAATAATTAAGGCTGCTCACTGCAGCTCCGTCTATCTGATGTGGGCACTGTCTACGGGGCTCTTCTGAGCAGCTAAGCGGTTGGCGTGGAGGAAACGGGCCTCGGGCGTGGAGGCCGAGAAAAGGAATGTCCTTCACCGTCCCCCACCTTGTCAGAGTTCACACTTTCCAGCTCCTTGGTTTAATCACACTCAACAAGTTCCAGTGCAACAGGCATAAAAACCACACATTACACGAATGAGCTAATTTTTAGATCTAATTCTTCTGGGGGAAAGTGTTTAGTTTCTATTCCATAGGCACTTCTGGGTGCTGTAAACAGGGAGAGAGCATATTTTCAACCGCAAATGGCCAAAATAACCTGGCCGGGCCCCTGCGCACCCCAGAACACTCCCTCTGGGAGGCAATGTGCCCGGGAGACAATGCACAACAGTGCACTGTGCTTGAGAGACAAGGGAACAGTACCGCACAGCCACTCTTTTTTTTTTCTTTAGAGCAGATCTTTTAATTGCTTCCTTTTTTATTGAATTTATTGAGATCACATTGGTTCCCCAAACCATACAGGTTTCAAGGGTACAACTCGATAAATCATCACCTGCACACTGCATGGTGCATCCAGGGCCCCACGCAGAGTCTCTTTCCTTCTGCGTGTATCCCTCCTTTGTCTACCTCCACCTTCCCCCCACACGCCTTTGCCTCTGGCTATCGTCAGACTGTTGTTGTGTCTAGGTGCTGCGTATATATGTTTTTTGTTTGTTTGTTTTTAAATATATCGTTATTGATTTCAGAGAGAGGAAAGGAGAGGGGGAGAGAGAGAGAGAAACATCAGTGATGAGAGAGTCATTGAGTGGCTGCCTCCTGCACGCCCTCAACTAGGGATGGAGCCCGCCACCCGGGCATGTGCCCTGACTGGGAATTGAACCGTGATCTCCTGGATCCAAGGTCAATGCTCAACCACTGAGCCACGCCAGCCAGGTTGTATGTTTTTTGCTTAGTCCATTCACCTTCTTTCATCCAGTCCTGCAATCCCCTTCCCCTCCAACAGCTATCAATTTGTTCCACGTATCCATGCCTCTGTTTCTATATTTTTTTCAATCCCACGTAACATTTTAATGGTATAGTCTTTTAAAAAACACTCGATGAACTCCCATGCAACACAAGAGAAGTTTGCCTGTAGTTTCTCATTTACTTTTACAACAATTGTTTGAGATAGGAACTATTAGTGTCCTCGCTTGATTAATGAGGAAATTGAGGCTCAGAGTTTAAGTGGTTTGCCCTTTTAAACTGTTGGGCCAGAACTCCAATCCAAACAGTTGACTTCAAGTCCCATACACTTTCTTCTTCATTTATTTTAAATTAAATTTATTGGGGTGACATTGGCTAATCAAATTATATAGGTTTCAAATGAAAGGCTAATAGTGATAGTAACAGGGACACCGAAGTGAGCAGTGAGAGTTCTAGCCAAGTAGCTTTAGACAGGAAGCAGGTCACTGAGGTAGGTGGAGGCCGACCTGCAGGAAGGCTACGAGGCTATACCTTAACCACACCAGGCTTACCGCCCAGCTCTTAGTGAGGACAAGCTTAGACTAACATCGGACTTCACTCTATTTCCTTTATAACTGTTTGTATATACATCTTATTTTATATACACCTCTTATAAAATATGGTCCTTTAAAAAAATCTGGAATTTAAAAAACCTTAAAATTGAGTACCCCTGTCAACACTACTGGGAAAAATAAGCTAAGACACCAACTTTCCAAAATTCTAGCCTAGTGAGGTTTATTTCTGTCAGAATAGGCTACACTTCTAGCATGTCTCTGTAATGTTGTTATGTTTACATCTTTACTTTCACAATGCTAACCACTTCTGTTTGATTACTTCTACCTTCTTCAAAAATGTGATTATGCATTTTAAAAACCCTCTGTCTCTCTTTGTGTGTGTATACAAATAATATATAATACATTATACTGCATGATATTATCTATTAGGTCTTACTAATGTAAGATGCCTTACTAGGGAACCAGGTCGAAAATATATTCAAGTCAAGCTAACGATTAATTGAAAGAGGAGAGGGAATGTCTAAGGAGTTGGAAGTCTATTTTCATTGTTTCATTTGATTTCACAGTAACTTTGCCAGGTCATTTTCCTGATTAAGAAATTGAGACTTTGCCCATGCTGGTTTGGCTCAGTGGTTAGAGCGTCAGTCGGTCGACTAAAGGGCCACAAGTTCAATTCTGGTCAAGGGCATGTACCTCAGTTGTAGGCTCAATCCCAGGCTCTGGTCAGGGTGCGTGTGGGAGGCAAACAATCTGTGTGTCCCTCTTTCTGTCTCTCCCCTCCCTTCCACTCTCTCTAAAAAAACCAATGGAAAAAATATCCACCAGTGAGGATTTAAAAAGAAATAACAGGAAGAAGAAGAAATTGGGGCTTAGAGATATTAAGCAAACTTGTCAAGAACAGAGTTATGAGTCATGGGACCTGGTATTCAAACCCAGTTAAGTCTGATTTCAAATCTTGGCAAAAGACACATTTTTCTCAATCTAAGATCAATGTATGCCTTATCAGGGGGTCTCTATCAGATATGTTATATTGAAAACAAACTACAAACACAGGCACATTCCAGGTCATTGAGATAGTGGCTTTACAATCACTTACTACCATGGGATTCCAGTGACTTTGTTTTTGTTGCCTGTGGACATATGTGTCTAGAGGTAAGGCTATATAACATTATTCCTAGTGCTCAAATAAAGTTTTACAATCAAGTAGAGAAATGGGTTGGAAGAACTGACTCAAGTGTCATAGGGCTTATTGTGGTAAATGCACCCATGCTTAACTCCAAGGAAGGTGTATTTTAAGAGATACCTTTGTATGCCTAAAATTGCAATAGGTTATTAGTTATAAGGTATATGACACCACATATTTATGCAATAAATTTGCAAAGATAATATTTTTCATGTTCTGAACTCAAAGCAATAAGAAGATAGAGATTTAAACGTTTTAATAATGTTAAAATAAACACATCTCCATGTGAATATAAAGCACTTGTATAACTATCAAACCATGCCTCATGGAAATTGATGTTGAAAAATTGCATCCTGGCAGAGATTTGTTTGATAGTTCTAAAGAGAAAAAAAGAAAATTCTTGATATGACCTTATGTGAATAGAAGTTTCCTATACAAGTATTATTGAAGTTAAAATACAGAAACAGACTAAGTATAGTATTAGAACTAAGTAGTATCTTCCATTAAACCTATCAAAAATGTTTTGGTTCACCCACAAAATCTTAAATTGATATTGTTAAGGTTTTAATATTTTTGTAGGACTTTGAAATTTACTTTACACATGCATTATACTTCAAAAGTTGGTTAAAAACTATAGACCTATGAACTTTAGGTCTAAATTTATGTTTCTATGTCAATATAAAATTATAATAAAATAATATATCAACACTCAGTGGAGTGGAAGGACCAATATATGTGTTTATTTTTCTTTGAGAATCAATGTACTTCAACAGTTGTCAGTTTTTAAAAGAAAGTGCATGGAAGACTTTCATTTCCAGACTCAACATCTAAAGAGCTTGGAAGCCATCACTCATATCCCTAACAAGAAAAATTAGCTGAAAGAACTGAAAATCAATGACTTTTCTTGGATCCATTAGAGAGAACTGAGGTCTCATGGCAAAGTGCCACCCATATTTCAGAGAGGTGACTGCAGAGACCCAGAGATGATGTCAGCTTACCTGGAGTGGAAGGCTTGGACAGGAGCATAAACTAGTGAGAACACTTAAATGGTCATCTTGTTGAATCACTAAAGGCTTAGTGAGGACTAGTGTGAGAAGTGGGAGACTCCTGGGGGCTGCAGTCTTAGGATGGCCCCCACTCTTTCATGGGCTTTTATCTCCAGAAATCTTACCAGGTCCTTAGAGTGAAAAGCCAAAAACAAAAACAAAAAAATCATTGGGTGCCTCTGGTACAGGGAACAGAAAAGTAATCATTTTTAAATCAAATTTATTGGGGTTACATTAGTTAATAAAATTATGTGGGTTTCAAGTGTACAATTCTATAATACATTGTCTGTTTATTGTATTGTGTGTTCACCATTCAAAGTCTAGTCTCCTTTCATCACCATTTATCCCCCGTTTACTCTCTTCCCTTCTGGTAATCACTATGCTGTTGTCCATTTTCTGTGTCTATGAGTTGTTGTTTTTCTTAACTTCTTCACCTGTTTCGCCCAGCCCACAACCCCGTCTCCTCTGACAGCTGTCAGTCTTTTCTCTGTATCTATGAGCCTGTTTCTATTTTGTTTATTTTGCTCACTAGATTCCTCATATAAGTGAATCAGATGGTATTTGTCTTTCTTTGACTGGCTTATTTCACTTAGCATAGTACCCTCTAGGTTCATCTATGTTGTCGCAAAAGGTAAGATTTCATTTTTTATGGCTGCGTAGTATTCCATAGTGTAAATGTCCCACAGCTTTTTTTATCCATCATATACAGATGAGCACTTGGGTTGCT